AAGCAACTCCTGTTCCCTGAAAAACTGGGAAAAGCTTTTTGTTCCAGGGGTTTTTTGTCTATTTGGTCTCTTGTCTCTTGTTTATCCCACACCATTTGAGCTCTGGAATATTTGGGAGTGGAACATGAGGGATCCAAACACCTCCTGTTCCCTGAAAAACTGGGAAGAGCTTTTTGTTCCAGGGTTTTTTTGCCTATTTGGTCTCTTGTTCTCTTGTTTATCCCTCTCTACTTGAGCTCTGGAATATTTGGGAGTGGGACATGAGGAATCAAAGCACCTCCTGTTCCTTGAAAAACTGGGAAAAGCTTTTTGTTCCAGGGGTTTTTTGTCTATTTGGTCTCTTGTCTCTTGTTTATCCCATTCCACCTGAGCTCTGGAATATTTGGGAGTGGAACATGAGGAATCCATGGAAAAGCTTCTGGTGGTGACTCTCTTCCTGTATTCCAGGTCTTTTCTCCCAAACCTCCCACCCTGCTGTTGGAAACCAATGGAATTTTTTATCTCAGCCCCATTTTTGGGATTTTTTTTTTTGTCTATTTGATCTCTTGTCTCTTGTTTATCCCTCTCTACTTGAGCTCTGGAATATTTGGGAGTGGGACATGAGGAATCAAAGCACCTCCTGTTCCTTGAAAAACTGGGAAGAGCTTTTTGTTCCAGGGTTTTTTTGTCTATTTGGTCTCTTGTCTCTTGTTTATCCCACACCATTTGAGCTCTGGAATATTTGGGAGTGGAACATGGGGAATCCAAGCACCTCCTGTTCCCTGAAAAACTGGGAAGAGCTTTTTGTTCCAGGGTTTTTTTATCTATTTGGTCTCTTGCTTATTGTTTATCCCACACTCCTTGAGCTCTGGAATGTTTGGGAATGGGACATGAGGAATCCAAGCACTTCCTGTTCCCTGAAAAACAGATTTTTCCCTGTTTTTTTTTTTCCCAGATAACTTCCCTGGAGAACATCCTGAAAGGAGACAAGGTAAGACCTTGAGCTCTTCCGAGGGTTGGAAGCTCCATGTGGGATTATTTTTCACATCTCCTCTATTTTCACTCCTTTTATGAGTCAAAGATCCCCAAAACAGCCTAAAACTCCTAATTTCCCAAGGAAAATTCCTGCTTCCAACCACAAAAACTCTCTCAGTGCATCATTTTTGGATGATTGGTGGGACAAGGTGAAGTTTTCCTTCCAAACTTCACATTCCCACAGGGAAAAACCAGAGGGATTTTCAGCCCAGGAACCAGAGGGATCCATCCCACGCCCCATTTCCCTGATTGCTTTGGGAAAATAGGGAATAAGATGACTTGGAATGCTGGGATAACTCCAGTTTGTGGAAGACAAAGAGCTTCCAAGGAATGTGGGTCTGGAATCTTCCCAAACCCCACTTAAAGCTCCCGGGCCCGGCTTTTCCAAGGAAACGACGTTATTCCATCAGCCAGGCTGGGATTACAAGGAAGTGGAGGCAGAGTTGGGTTGGGAATTCCATTATTAGCCCAAGGAGGGGAAAGGAAAAGCAGGAAAAGCGGGGAAATTCTCAGGAATATGAGCTGTAGGTCGAGTGAAGAGTTAACGGAAAAACGGGAATGAGCGAGATCCAAGGAAAAGCTCCTGGTCCACCTGGAAAAGGTGGTGTTAATTTGGGGCCAGCACAGTCAAGGAATGCTGGAATGGATGAGGAATGGATTCCTCATCCAATGGGAATCCATTCCAGCATCATCACCACCGGGAATTTTGGAAGGGACAAAGAACTAACACACATTCCTGCTCCTTCCAGGGGGATCCCGGGAAGGACGGATTGAGAGGGGAAAGAGGCCCCCCAGGCCCAAAGGTACGTCCAGAGGGGTAAAAACCCCCATTCCAAGTTCTTCTGACCCCCCCCAAGGGGGTTGGGTTTTCTGGGATGGGTTCCCAAACCCATAGGAGGGAAAATGTTGTCCAAGGAGAGGAATGGGATCGAATTCCAAAGTGTTGGGAGCTTTTTTTCCTTCTCTCCTTCCTTCCTGCAAGCTCAGGAAGGGCTGGAAGGAGAAAGGGCTTCAGGCACCACACACATCCTGGGATCTTTAGAGGGGAGGACCAACCCCTTCCCAAAAAAAAGGAGGGAAACTCTGCGGGAAGAGGGTACAGGTGGATCTTCTGATGGGCAGGAGATCCAGGGCTCTGGAGAGGAGGACTTGGCCAGGTGACATGAACAGGCTGTGCCTCAGACATTCCCAGTCCAGCCAGTCCATCCATCCATGGTGGCTCAGACATTCCCAGTCTAGTCAGTCCATCCCAGTCCAGCCAGTCCATCCCTCCATGGTGACTCAGACATTCCCAGTCCAACCATTCCATCCCAGTTCAGCCAGTCCATCCCAATCCAGCCATTCCATCCCAGTCCAACCAGTCCATCCCAGTTCAGCCAGTCCATCCCAGTTCAGCCATTCCATCCCAGTTCAGCCATTCCATCCCAATCCAGCCATTCCATCCCAGTTCATCCATTCCATCCCAGTTCAGCCATTCCATCCCAATCCAGCCATTCCATCCCAGTCCAGCCATTCCATCCCAGTCCAGCCATTCCATCCCAGTCCAGCCATTCCATCCCAATCCAGCCATTCCATCCCAGTCCAGCCAGTTCATCCCAATCCAGCCATTCCATCCCAGTTCAGCCATTCCACCCCAGTTCAACCAGTCCATCCCAGTCCAGCCAGTCCATCCCAGTCCAGCCATTCCATCCCAGTTCATCGATTCCATCCCAGTTCAGCCAGTCCATCCCAGTTCAGCCAGTCCATCCCAGTCCAACCATTCCATCCCAGTTCATCCATTCTATCCCAGTCCAGCCATTCCATCCCTCGATGATGGCTCAGACATTCCCAATCCAGCCAGTCCATCCCAGTTCAGCCAGTCCATCCCAGTTCAACCATTCCATCCCAATCCAGCCATTCCATCCCAGTCCAGCCATTCCATCCCAGTTCTGCCATTCCATCCCAGTTCATCCATTCCATCCCAATCCAGCCATTCCACCCCAGTCCAGCCAGTTCATCCCAATCCAGCCATTCCATCCCAGTTCAGCCATTCCACCCCAGTTCAACCATTCCATCCCAGTCCAGCCATTCCATCCCAGTTCTGCCATTCCATCCCAGTTCTGCCATTCCATCCCAGTTCAGCCAGTCCATCCCAATCCAGCCATTCCATCCCAGTCCAGCCAGTTCATCCCAACCCAGCCATTCCATCCCAGTTCAGCCATTCCATCCCAGTTCAGCCAGTCCATCCCAGTTCAGCCATTCCACCCCAGTTCAACCAGTCCATCCCAGTCCAGCCAATCCATCCCAGTCCAGCCAATCCATCCCAGTTCAACCAGTCCATCCCAGTCCAGCCAGTCCATCCCAGTTCAGCCAGTCCATCCCAGTCAACCATTCCATCCCAGTTCAGCCAGTCCATCCCTCCATGGTGGCTCAGACATTCCCAGTTCAGCCATTCCATCCCAGTTCAGCCATTCCATCCCAATCCAGCCATTCCATCCCAGTCCAACCAGTCCATACCAGTCCAGCCAGTCCATCCCACTTCAGCCAGTCCATCCCTCCATGGTGACTCAGTCATTCCCACTTCAGCCAGTCCATCCCAGTCCAGCCAGTCCATCCCAGTCCAATCATTCCATCCCAATCCAGCCAGTCCATCCCAGTCCAGCCAGTCCATCCCAGTCCAACCATTCCATCCCAATCCAGCCAGTCCATCCCAGTCCAACCATTCCATCCCAGTTCAGCCAGTCCATCCCACTTCAGCCATTCCATCCCAGTTCAGCCAGTCCATCCCAGTTCAGCCAGTCCATCCCAGTCCAGCCATTCCATCCCAGTTCAGCCAGTCCATCCCAGTCCAACCATTCCATCCCAGTCCAGCCAGTCCATCCCACTTCAGCCAGTCCATCCCTCCATGGTGACTCAGTCATTCCCACTTCAGCCAGTCCCTCCCAATCCAGCCAGTCCATCCCAGTCCAGCCAGTCCATCCTTCGATGAATGGCTCAGACATTCCCAGTCCAGCCAGTCCATCCCAGTCCAGCCCAGTCCATCCCTCCATGGTGGCCAAGACATGGAGAAGGGGGTGGTGCAAAGGCCTTGGCCCAAATTTCGCGGCCGGTTCTGCTCCAGGCTTGGAAAATCCCGGGAAACGACCGTGTCCGATGGAGTGAAGGACGAGCAGGGTGGGATTCCAACCCCCCTCTGAGCTGCCAGGGATTTTTCCAGGATTAATATCCCAGATATGGGATTATCCCCCTTCCTCAGAGCTTTCCTTCTTGCTCCTCGTGGAATTAACGACTTAATTAACGAGCTGATCTTGTTTAATTGAAGGGAGAACCTGGTCCACCGGGCCGAGCCGTGGAAATGGAGGTAAATCCAACCAAAACTATGGAAAAACCTCCCTGTCTGGGGTTGGGGTGGCAGAGGGGACCCAGTGCCCCCATAGGATCCCCTTCCTGGGCTGGAGGAGAGAGGGGGGAGAAGTTCTGACCCTTCCTTCCTCTTCCAGGACCTGGAGAAGCTCTTGGAATCCCACGGGATCAAGGTGGGTGATGCTTTGACCTTCCTGCCGAGGGGGTTGGAATTCAGCTTTTCCAGCTGTTCCCTGGATTTGAGGCCCGGAGAGACCTGGAGCTTGGACTCATCCAATTCCACCCCACACCTTCCACTCTCCCAGGTTGCTCCAACCTGCCCTTGGACACTTCCAGGGATCCAGGGGCAGCCACAGCTTCTCTGGGAATTCCATTCCAACCCCTCCCCACCCTCCCAGCAGGAATTCCTTCCCAGTATCCCATCCGTCCCTGCCCTCTGGCAGTGGGAAGCCATTCCCTGTGTCCTGTCCCTCCAGGCCTTGTCCCAAATCCCTCTCCAGCTCTCCTGGAGCCCCTTTAGGCCCTGGAAGGGGCTCCAAGGACTCTGTGGCCCCCTGGAGGACACCAGGGCTGGGACATGGAGGGACTGGGATGGACATTGAGTCCTGGGGGAGTTTCCAAGACATCCCTGGAGGATACCAGGGCTCCGAGATGGAGGGATTTGGATGGACTTTGAATCCTGGGGGAGCTTCCAAGACATCCCTGGAGGACACCAGGGCTGGGACATGAAAGGAACTGGGATGGACATTGAGCCCAACAATCCCTGGAGGACACCAGGGCTGGGACATGGAGGGACTGGGATGGTCATTGAGTCCTGGGGGAGCTTCCAACAGATCCCTGGAGGACACCAGGGCTTGGACAGGGATGGACTGGGATGGGCATTGAACCCAACAATCCCTGGAGGACACCAGGGCTGGGACATGGAAGGACTGGGATGGACATTTAGGGACTGGGATGGACACTGAGCCCAACAATCCCTGGAAGACACCAGGGCTGGGACATTTAGGGACTGGGATGGACATTGAGCCCAACAATCCCTGGAGGACACCAGGACATGGAGGGACTGGGATGGACACTGGGCTGGCTGCCCTCACAGGGCGATGTGGGAGGAGCAGGGGGGTGGCACTGGGCCTGACTGGTGTGCCCTGGGCATTACTGGTGTGCCCTGGGCCTTACTGGTGTGCACTGGTCCCAGCTGTCCCTGCTGAAGGAACTCTCGGACGCGCTCCTGCGGGACGGGCCGGACGAGCTCCGGTGGCACTTGGGGACATCCAGGATGAGCCAGAGCTCCGGGAAGGGTCAGGCAGGCCTGGCTGGCACCAGCCATGGTGTGAGTACCATCATCTGCCTCCCCTGAGGATGGACAGACCCCCCCAGGAACGGGAGAGGGACGGAAATGAGGCGTCGGAGGCTTCGGGGTCACCTCTGTCACCGTGAGGCCCAGGGGACACGGGCACTTGGAGCTGGGATTCATCCAATTACAGCCCCAGGGACACCTCCCACTAGCCCAGGTTGCTCCAACCTGGCCTTGGACGCTTCCAGGGATCCAGGGGCAGCCACAGATTCTCTGGGAATTCGATTCCAGCCCCTCCCCACCCTCCCAGACAGCGATTCCTTCCCAGTATCCCATCTAACCCTGCCCTCTGGCACTGGGAAGCCATTCCCTGTGTCCTGTCCCTCCAGGGCTTGTCCCAAATCCCTCTCCAGCTCTCCTGGAGCCCCTTTAGGCCATGGAATGAACTCCAAGGACTCTGTGGCCCCATTTGAAACTGGAATTTGGGGGCAGGCTGTGCCAGGAGTATCCAGAACTTTGTCCCCCTGCATCCAGCATTTCCCTTGGCTGGGAATGGTTAAACTGGAGAGAGACCTGGAAGCACCAAGGATGGAGCTTAAACCTCCTAATTTCTTAGAATTATGGAATGGTTTGGGTTGGAAGGACCTTAAAGCCCATCCACTTCCAGCCCCAGGGACACCTTCCACTCTCCCAGGTTGCTCCAACCTGGCCTTGGACACTTCCAGGGATCCAGGGGCAGCCACAGCTTCTCTGGGAGATCCATTCCAGCCCCTCCCCATCCCTCCCAGCCAGCAATTCCTTCCCAATATCCCATCTAGCCCTGCCCTCTGGCACTGGGAAGCCATTCCCTGTGTCCTGTCCCTCCAGGCCTTGTCCCCAGTCCCTCTCCAGCTCTCCTGGAGCCCCTTTAGGCACTGGAAGGGACTCCAAGGACTCTGTGGCTCCATTTGGAACTGGAATTTGGGGGCTGGGCTCTGCCAGGAACATCCAGAGCTTTGTTTGTCCACCTGTATCCAGCATTTCCCTTGGCTGGGAATGGTTTAACTGGAGAGAGACCTGGAAGTGCTGAGGATGGAACCTGGGAAATCCATCCCAGCCCTTCCCCGCCCTCCCAGCCAAAAACTCCTTCCCAGCATCCCACCTAAACCTCTCCCCTTTCAGTTTTAACCCCCTGGAGAAAGCTGGGCTGGAAGAGACTCCCGGCTGGCCCGAGGATCTGGGATCTTCGGAAGAGCCGGAGGGATCCTGGGGGTGGGTTGGATTTGCCTGGAAGGAAGGGTTTGGATGTGGCCAGTGAGGAATTGTTGACTTCTCAGTCCATCCTGGTTGAGAAAAGGCCACCAGGTTGGACAGAACACGCTGGAGAGGGGTGGGAAATCCATTGGGAATAATCCATCGGGATCCAGGTCATCAAATATGAGGATCCTGCCAGCTCAGGTTGGTCCTGGTCACAGCAACCTCCTTCTTTTGGTATCTCAGGATACCCCGGGGTTGGATCCTTTTCCCAGTGTCCTGGGCAGCCCTGAGGGGCCAGGAGAAGCCCAGAGCCTGGAGCTGGAACCTCTGGAATTGCCGGTGTCCGGAGGAGTCTCCAAGGTGAGGATAAACAGCGGGACCCACGGAGAGATGAAGGGTTGGGGTTTTTGGATGTGTCCCTCAATTCAGGAAGGGAAGGGGGCTGGGAAGGGTCTGGAAAAATCCTGAGGGAACTGGGGGGGCTTATCCTGGAGAAAAGGAGGCTCAGGGGGGACCTTCTGGCTCCCTAAAATTCTGTGGAAGGAGGTTGGAGCCAGGGGGAGTCGAGCTCTGCTCCCAGGGAGCAAGGGACAGGGGGAGAGGGAACGGCCTCGAGCTGTGCCAGGGGAGGGTCAGGTTGGATATTGGGGAAAATTTCCTCATGGAAAGGGTGGTCAGGCATTGGAAGGAGCTGCCCAGGGAGGTTTGGAGTGCCCAGCCCTGGAGGTGTCCCAGGAAGGCCTGGATGTGGCACTCAGTGCTCTGGGCTGGGGGACAAGGTGGGGATGGGACACGGGGGGGATCCATGGGCTGGGAGGGCTTTTCCAACTTAAATAATTCTGGGAATTGTCTCTGCTGCCCTGGCAGGGAAGGTTCTGATCCTACTGTGGGGATGGATTGATATTGTCCAACAGAGGAGTCCATGCTGGGGCTGCCAGAGCTCCAGGAGTGTCTGGACAACGCCCTCAGGGACAGGGTGGGATTGTTGGGGTGTCTGTGCAGGACGATCCTTGGGGGTCCCTTCCAACTCAGGATATCCCAGGATTCCAGAGCTTGAGTAACCAGACCAATTCTCAGAGATAATCAACTCACCTGCAACTGCAATTAAGATAATCAAGTCCTCTGCAATTGCAATTAACACCTCATTTTTATGGGAATTAGGAATTTATTAAGTTAAGGCTTCATCTCCACGCTGGGCCCAAATTCCAGGCACAGCTCCAGGAGTGCCATCAGAGGGCTGTATCCAGGTCACCTCCCAGAGCTGCAGGAGGATCTTCATGGATCTTAATCCAGGAGGATATTCGTGGATCTTAATCCAGAAGGATCTTCATGGATTTTAATACAGAAGGATCTTCATGGATCTTAATCCAGGAGGATCTTCATGGATCTTAATCCAGGAGGATCTTCATGGATTTTAATCCAGAAGGATCTTCATGGATCTTAATCCAGGAGGATCTTCATGGATCTTAATCCAGAAGGATCTTCATGGATTTTAATCAAGGTGGATCTTCATGGATCTTAATCCAGAAGGATCTTCATGGATCTTAATCCAGAAGGATCTTCATGGATTTTAATCAAGGTGGATCTTCATGGATCTTAATCCAGAAGGATCTTCATGGATTTTAATCAAGGTGGATCTTCATGGATCTTAATCCAGGAGGATCTTCATGGATTTTAACCCAGAAGGATCTTCAAGGATTTTAATCCAGGAGGATCTTCATGGATTTTAATACAGAAGGATCTTCATGGATCTTAATCCAGGAGGATCTTCATGGATTTTAATCAAGGTGGATCTTCATGGATCTTAATCCAGAAGGATCTTCATGGATTTTAATCAAGGTGGATCTTCATGGATCTTAATCCAGAAGGATCTTCATGGATCTTAATCCAGGAGGATCTTCATGAATTTTAATCCAGAAGGATCTTCATGGATTTTAATCTGTCCCTTCTGGACAGACCTAACAAGAGATATCCCAGGAAACAGCCCCTGGAGCTTTTCTCATCCTCTTTTTAGGGCATCCAAGAAGTGTCTCCACTCTCCAAAAACCATTCCTGGCAGGAAATGTTGTCTCTCCAACTGGAGGCCCGAGAGCTTGTGGGATATTTGGGATATTTGGAACCACAGGGATGTTTGGAAGCGTCTCCTGACAGGTTTATCTCCCTCCTTCCGCTATCCCAAGTCGTTCCAAACCCCATCCAACCTGGCCTTGGACACTTCCAGGGAGGTGTAGACACAAGAACAGACCTTTTTAACCTTTCCACGACCCAACAGACGGGGTTAGAAACCCAGGAAAAATTAATTACGGATTCAGGGATTAATTAAGGAGATACCGACACGTAGAATCCGAAAATCTTATTTTAAAAGGGATTTTGGAACGGAAAAAAGGGGCTGGGAGTTGACCAGAAAGGTGGGATGTGCCTATGGATAGATGATTTGATCCTCACGGACTGAGCTTTGAGTGACCTGCCCTCTCCACCTGCGTTGTATCCATTCATTTTTCCAGCCTTTTAAGGCGGAATCTGGGATAATGCCAGGCTTGGGCACCCTGGCACACACTCCAGAATTACTGATTTTCAGCGTTTTTCATCCAGAGTTTTGACCCAAAAAACAAAGCAGGAATTTCACTCGTTGGTCTCCACAGGGTCCACCTGCTGGTGATTCTCAGCCTGGGCACCAGTTCCTGGGAAACCCTCCCGAATCCTTGGAGAAAACACCCGAGGAAAGGCAGGAGGAGAGAGACTCGAGAGGGACAAACTCTTCTCTCCTCGGGGTAAGGAAATTCCCGGGCAGGGACTTGAAATTCCTTTTCCATTTGAGCTGATTCCGATTTTCTTGGAATTTCGTTGCCATCCGGAGTTTTGCCCCCGTTTTCCTGCTCGAGTTGGAGGAGGGATAAGGATCAGTGGCAGAGCTTGGGAAAGGGCCTTGCTGTCCCTCCTCTGCTCTGGGAATTCATGGAATTGTGCTGTCACTTGTCACCCTCTGCAGGGCTTGGCTGTGCCCCCAAAACTCCCAGGGGATGATCTGCAGGGAAATCAGTCCCTGGAGCTTCCCGAGCCCTTGGAAAAGACGGAGGAAGCACAACCACAGCTGGAGGCCAGCCAGGTCTGTGTGTCCCGGGATTCCTGGGCAGTGTGGGGATGAGGGAGGGACTGGGATGGACTGGGATGGATGTTGAGTCCTGGGGGAGCTTCCAACACTTCCCTGGAGGACACCAGGGCTGGGACATGGAGGGACTGGGATGGACACTGAGTCAAACAATCCCTGGAGGACACCAGGGCTCAGAGATTTAGGGACTGGGATGGACATTGGGCCCAACAATCCCTGGAGGACACCAGAGATGGGACATGGAGGGACTGGGATGGACACTGAGCCCAACAATCCCTGGAGGACACCAGGGCTCACAGATTTAGGGACTGGGATGAACATTGAGTCCTGGGGGAGCTTCCAACACATCCCTGGAGGACACCAGGGCTGGGACAATTAGGGATTGGGATGGACATGGAATCCTGGGGCTGCTTCCAACAATCCCTGGAGGACACCAGGACTGGGACATGGAGAGACTGGGATGAACACTGAGCCCAACAATCCCTGGAGGACACCAGGACTCACAGATTTAGGGACTGGGATGGACACTGAGTCCTGGAGCAGCTTCCAACACTTCCCTGGAGGATACCAGGACTGGGACATCAAGGGACTGGGATGGACATTGAACCCAACAATCCCTGGAGGACACCAGGACTGGGACATGGAGGGACTGGGATGGACACTGAGCCCAACAATCCCTGGAGAACCCCTGGCTCAGCCCCAGAGCTGGGCAGGAGGCCGAGGGCCAAATCTGGCCTTTCAGGAGTTCCCAGAATATCCTGAGTTGGGAGGGACCCCCAAGGACCCCCCAAATCCAACTCTGGAGTGAATGATCCACGCATGGATGGAACCTGAACCCCCAGAGCCTTTGGCCAGTGTTTGGTTGGTTAATTCCCCACTTTTTTGGGGGGGATAAACCAGGAAAATCCCTTTCTGATCCGATCCCACCTGGCCATCCCATCCACACTATTATTTGGGCTTGGTTGGCTCAGTAGTTGTTGATTCCCAACAGTGGTTTAAAAATGAGTTTTTATCCTCCAGGGATAGAGCAGAGCCAGGACAGGGAGTTTAAAACATGCCCCCTGACCAGAGAATTCCTTTTCCTTCTTGCTTTCCATGGATAATCCCCAGACCCTCAGGTTTCCCTGCACAGAATTAGTCCTTTACACCCTGGGAGAAGATCCATATTATAAAATTTCCAACCTAGTTGGAGGGTGTATCCAGACTGGAAATGAAAATTATCCCGGCTCAGCTGATGGACAATAATTTGTGGTTGTTTTCCAAGCCCTGATATCCCATTTCCCGCTTTTTTCCTGCCCTCTGAGGGCCCAAATCCTGCTCCAAACCCAGCACCCTCCAGTCTGACCCTCTCCTGGGGGATGGAGGGAATGCTTTCCTTGGAAAACCCAGAGCCAGCCCTAAAAAGTGACCAGGAAAAAAAATCCCTGGAATGTTTCCCGGCAGCTGCTGGCACATTAACAAGGATTTTTTTTTAGGAATAGCAACTCCAAGCGTGGCGAGTGAATCTCGCTCTGATTCAGGGAATCCGGGAAACACTCGGTCCCGTTCCCATCCCTTCCTCCTTTTCCTGCCTCTGCCAATTCCGCTCGGAATTCCCGGAGCTGGAATGAGGGAATATTCCTTCCAGCAGCCACGAGAGGGCTCCCGGCACAAACACAAACACACCAGAAGCATCCAGAGCTTTGTTTTCCCTCCTGGATCCAGCGTTTCCCTTGGCTGGGGATGGTTGAGCTGGAGAGAGACCTGGAAGCACCGAGGATGGAGCTTAAACTTCCCGATTTCTTGGAATCATGGAATGGTTTGGGTTGGAAGGGAACTTAAAGATCATCCACTTCCAAGCCCAGGGACACCTCCCACTATCCCAGGTTGCTCCAACCTGGCCTTGGACACTTCCAGGGATCCAGGGGCAGCCACAGCTTCTCTGGGAAATCCATTCCAGCCCTTCCCCACCCTCCCAGCCAGCAATTCCTTCCCAATATCCCACCTAACCCTGCCCTCTGGCACTGGGAAGCCATTCCCTGTGTCCTGTCCCTCCAGGCCTTATCCCAAATCCCTCTCCAGCTCTCCTGGAGCCCCTTTAGGCCCTGGAAGGAGCTCCAAGTTTTCCCTGGAGCCTTCCCTTCTCCGGGTGAACATTCCCAGCCTGATCCAGCTCCGGATGGCTGGGAACATAAATATAATATGATAATAAATTAATTAAAAATCTTTATATCAGTTGGCCTTAATTAATATTTTTATATTATTTTAATATTAATTAATATTTTCCTCTTCCCGCAGGAAAACCGGGATTCAGGGAACAACTCCACATTCCCGAGGCGCATCCGGACCAGGAGATCTCCCGAGGAACAAACGGAAAAAATCCCTTTTCCCAACCCTTTGGAAGATCCCGGAGGATCCAACGCCCCTTTCCCGGCGGCTCCGGCCCCGATCCATCCTCCCGGAGCTCCGGGAGCTCGGAAATTCCCGCCGGGATCCACGGTGAGCGTCGGGATGAGCGGGAAAGGCGGGAGTGGGAAAATTAGGGATAAATATTCCCAAATAAAACCCTGGAAATCCATCTTTTTTTTACGGCAGATCCCTCGGGATCTTCTCCTTGGAAAAGCAAAGTTGACCCAGGAGGGAATAAAAAAAATCCAGGGAATAATTGGGAGGGTGTTTTGTGCTCTGATTTGGGGTCAGATCCAGGAAATTTGGGATATTGGAAACTTTTCCTAAACATTCCCTGGAATGCCCGGATGGTCCCGTCGGACTTTCACGCGACATTCCGGGATGGAAAAAGGGCAAGGAGTTGGTTTTTATGGAATTGAAGAGGAAAACACTTATTTATGTGGATATAAATATGGATAGAGGGGTTGGTATTTAAGGGAAGATGAGGAAGGGTTAAGGAGGGAAAATTGGGAATGATTTTCCCTGGAATGAGTCTCTGGGAGTGATCCTCAGCCTGCATTCCCAGCAGGAATGGCAGCACTGAGCTGGGAAATCTGGATGAATGGGAATGGTGGGAGTGGGAAAATTAGGGATAAATATTCCCAAATAAAACCCTGTAAATCCATATTTTTTTACAGCAGATCCCTTTGGATCTTCTTCTTGGAATATCAAAGTTAATCCAGGAGGGAATAAAAAAAGTTGGGATAACTGAGAGGGTGTTTTGTGCCCTGAGATATTTTGGGGTCGGATCCAGGAAATTTGGGAGATTAGAAACTTTTCCTAAACATTCCCTGGACGTCCCATCAGACTTTAACACGACATTCCAGGATGGAAAAAGGGCAAGGAGTTGGTTTTTATGGAATTGAAGAGGAAAACACTTATTTATATGGATATAAGTATGGATACGGGTGTTGGTATTTAAGGGAAGATGAGGAAGGGTTAAGGAGGGAAAATCGGGAATGATTTTCCCTGGAATGAGTCTCTGGGAGTGATCCTCAGCCTGCATTCCCAGTAGGAATGGCAGCACTGAGCTGGGAAATCTGGGAGCACGGAGGCTGCTCCATATCCAGCCAGGAGCCCTTCCATGGGATTCTGGTGATCCTTGGGAACCCTTTCCATGGGATTCAGGTGATCCCTGGGAACCCTTTCCATGGGATCCTTCCGATCCCTGGGAACTCCTTCAGTGGGATTCAGGTGATCCTTGGGAACCCTTTCCACAGGATTCAGGTGATCCTTGGGAGCCCCTTCCATGGGATTCAGGTGATCCCTGGGAACCCTTTCCACAGGGTCCTCCTGACCCACGGAAACCCTTTCCATGGGGTCCTTCTGATCCCTGGGAAGTCCTTCAGTGGGATTCAGGTGATCCTTGGGAATGCTTTCCATGGGGTCCTACTGATCCCTGGGAACCCTTTCCATGAGATTCTGGTGATCCTTGGGAATGCTTTCCATGGGGTCCTGCTGATCCCTGGGAACTCCTTCAGAGGGATCCAGGTGATCCTTGGGAACCCTTTCCATGGGATTCTGGTGATCCCTGGGAACCTTTTCCATGGGGTCCTGCTGATACCTGGGAACTCCTTCCATGGGATTCTGGTGATCCTTGGGAACCCTTTCCATGGGGTTCTGCTGAACCCTGGTCTGGTGATCCCTGGCAACACTTTCCATGGGATTCTGATGATCCCTGGTCTGGTGATCCCTGGGCACTCCTTCAGAGGGATTGAGGTGATCCCTGGGAACCCTTTCCATGGAGTTCTGAAGATCCACGGGAACCTTTCCATGGGATTCTGCTGATCCCTGGGAACCTTTTCTGTGGGGTTCTGGTGATCCCTGGGAACTCCTTCCATGAGATTCAGGTGATCTTTGGGAACCCTTTCCATGGGGTCCTTCTGATCCCTGGGAACTCCTTCAGAGGGATTGAGGTGATCCTTGGGAACCCTTTCCATGGAGTTCTGCTGATCCCTGCGAACTCCTTCAATGGGATTCTGGTGATCCTTGGGAACCTCTCAGTGGGGTTCTGGTAATCCTTGGGAATACTTTCCATGGGGTTCTAGTGATCCCTGGGAACCCTTTCCCTGGGGTTCTGCTGATCCCTGGTCTGGTGATTCCTGGGAACCCCTCATAGGGGTTCAGCTGCTCCCTGGGAACTCCTTCCATAGGATTCAAGTGATTCCTGGAAACCCTTTCCATGGGGTCCTTTTGATCCCTGGGAACTCCTTCAATGGGATTCAGGTGATCCTTGGGAACCCTTTCCATGGGATTCTGCTGATCTCTGGGAACCCTTTCCATGGGATTCAGGTAATCCTTGGGAACCCTTTCCGTGGAGTCCTGCTGATCTCTGGGAACCCTTTTTTGGGGATTCAAGTGATCCCTGGGAACCCTTTCCATGGGTTCTGCTGATCCCTGGTCTGGTGATCCCTGGGAATTCCTTCAGTGGGGTTCTGGTGATCCCTGGGAATTCCTTCAGTGGGGTTCTGGTGATCCCTGGGAACCATTTCTAGGGAGTTCTGAAGATCTACGGGAACCCTTTCCATGGGATTCTGCTGATCCCTGGGAACCTTTTCTGTGGGATTCAGGTTCTCCTTGGGAACCCTTGCCATGGGATTCAGGTGATCTCTGGGAACCTTTTCCATGGAGTTCTGGTGATCCCTGGGAACCCTTTCCATGGGGTCCTTCTGATCCCTGGGAACCCCTTCCATGGGATTCTGGTGATCCTTGGGAACCCTTTCCATGGGATTCTGGTGATCCCAGGGAACACTCCTCATCCCTGGAGATTCCATGGGATTCTGGTGATCCCTGGGAACCCTTTCCATGGGATTCTGGTGATCCCTTGGAGCCTTTTCCATGGGATTCAAGCGATACCAGGGAACCCTTTCCATGGGCTCCTGCCGATCCCAGGGCACACTCCTCCTCCCTGGATATTCCAGCCGCCTTCCCACTTGCTTCCCAACCCCTCCCTCCTCCGAGGAGTCTTTCCCACCTTTCCCTCTCCTCTTTCCCATTCCAGGCGTCTCCAGGCCCTCCCCATCCCAGGAAAATGAAGGTCCAGCTCCCAATCCATGCTCCTCTTCCCCGGGAGGAGGCGGCTGATCCCGAATCCCGGCACATCCCGGTTTTTTTTTTCCTTGCAGGAGGAGGGAACGATCCTGGCAGATCCCCCTTCCCGGGGCCAAAAGGTCGGTGCTTTAATGACAATTTTAATGGAAAATAGGGATGGATGGGAATGGGAATATGGGAGAAATGGGAATAGAGGATACGGAGAAATGCTGGATAAATAGGAATTTATAGGGATATAGGAGAAATAGACATTTATATAAATGATTG